CCCCCCCCCCCCCCCCCCCCCCCCCGAACGGTCGACCTCGCCGACCTCGAATGCCCCCACGGAGCCAGACGTTCCCCTCGAGGTCGACGGCCCAGACGACGTTGGTCCCGACGGCGATCTGCTTGAGACGGCTCTCGCGACTCGGGGCTTCCACCCTCGCCCAGTCCGTTCCTGACGGCCAACAACCGACGGCAAACGTCACAATACGGATCCATGATCGAAGATGGTCGTCAAAGTTCACACGATCGGTTGGCCGATCCCTAAATCCCCTCGAGATCACACGAGTCTAACTTCTGCACCCGTAGGGGACGTTTTAAAACCGTCCCATGTTTGCTCGCGAGAAAGGCCCGTGACCATGAATGTAACGGCTACCAAAAGCAGAAGCAGGTGAAAAATCTAGACGACCGAGATGGCTACTAGAGAGCAAGGGCCATCGAGTTTCAAACCGGCCGAGGCATCCAGACGGATTTATATTTAAAAAAAATATGATTTCGATGTATATTTTTTGACTTGATCGAGTCGAAATAAAAAAAAAATTTTTAAAAGCATGCAGTCGTGTTGAAAACCGAGCAATTTCTCTCCTCGAGAAAGAGTTGCACGGAGTGACAAAAGAATCGGGCAAACTCAAACCGAAACAAAAAAAGAAGCATGCAGTAAAATCACTTAAAGCCATCTCGACTAAATTCCATTAAAACCTACCGTCACTTCCCTGCAATTCACGAAACCTGGCCCCCCCGTGATCGGCGACACCGACACCACAAAACCACCCAAAACGCGGAGAAACCACCCACCTCTGCGATCGAGTCGGTTCACGCCGCCACGCACGAGGGCACACCCGTCCCACGTCGACGCCCAGACGAGCCCCGTCGGTCCCACGGCGATTCCCTGGGGCTCGAGTCCTCTCGGCGTGGGGACCTCCTCCCACCCGTCCCCTTCCGGGTTGCAGTGGCTCACGCCCCTTCGAAACAGGACCTGCACGGCGAGACGAAACGGATCATCGTCGAGTCGCGAGCGACATCTGCAGATGCGACCGAAAATTCTCTCGGGGCTCCGCTCGGATGGAGCACGGAGACGATAAAAGGCTCACGTATTCGCTCTCTTTCGGTTGCCGAATTCTCCAAATTAGCAATCCGATAACTGATGCGATCCTTCTCGTTATCGGCCATAAAAAAAAGTTGGAACCAGGCATCAGAGACTGATGCTAGGATGCCTGCTCGTGCCATCAACTTGCACTTATAGATAAAAAGTACCTTCTATAGTGCTTTCGGCAAGGACACCTCCAAACGACTATGCAATCGACCAGATGTCTGTCTCTGTGAGTGCAAGCATGAAGCTTTTGCAAAAATCATGAGGATACCACCTCTAAAAACTCCACCAAACTACCATAACTTAAAGAAAATGGTGACCTCGAAACCAATAAGTTGGAAGAAGATTTAATATTATAAATTTCCACGAGAGGAAGCTTAAATGTAAAAGCACTCATTGAGGGGAATGGTGGTCGTGGCTCCAGACAGATTCTTCCACAGTTCATTTGATCACTTTGATTAACATCAAACATGAAATATGATCCACCACCATCATCCCGACAAACACACCTTCCCGGAGAGCATTCTTAATGCTTCTGCTCCCTTTCTTTGATGAACTGGTGCATATGCACAGGTAAGTTTCATTCATGAAAGGTCACTCGATGGCACCAAGAATTAGAACAGGGTCTACTTTTTTTGTTTTAAAAATGCTCAGGTAAGCGCACATCACTGATCTCACCTTTCCCAACACCGTAACGGCCCACACCGAAAGCCCATCTCCGTCACCGTCGGGAATCTCGTTTCCGCCGATGGATACGTCGCCGAAGGGATCCTTGGACGCGTCGGCGTGGAAGGGCGGAACGGGCGCCCAGGACTCGACGGCCGTGTACCTGCGATACCTCACCCACTTCCTGCGGCGGACGCACGAGTTCCACGACTTCTCCGGGCGGTACGTGCGAGGGAAATCGAGGGCGTAAGTCCATCCCTAGCGGACGAGAGCGACCCGTTAAGCGAGGTGCAGATTGGGAGAACGGAGAGACGTGCTGAAGAGAGTTGCCGTTCTCACTGCAACTTCCAGAGGATGTCCGTCGAGATGTGCTTCGATCTCCCAGTCCTTCTCCCAATCCCATGCCAAACTAGGTAACTCGATCCCGTCCTTCGCTCTCGCCACCGTCCCGTCCTCGTTGGAAAAGGGGGAGCGGTCCGTGGGCAGGAGATTCCCACCGAAACCCGTCGCTGGATTCCATCTCTGCACGATTTCGAACGAGAACTTTTGACACGGACTCGACAGACGCCGAAACGACGAACGGAGATCGAGCGTCCGAGACGCGAGACCTGGTTCTCGTAGACTTCTTCCTTGACCCGTATCCGAGTGGCCCGAGGCAGGACGTAGACGTAGACCTGATGGTCCGCCCCCAGGGCCCAGAGGTGGCCGGCGTGGGCCGAAACCCGCTTGAATCCGATGCCCAGATCGGGGATCTGGTTCCAATCGTGACCCTCGGTCGGGAGATAGAGGAGGCGACCGAGGCGGTCCACGGCGTACAGGTTCGAATGGCTCATCTTCCCGATGGCATCTTCCCGGCGGTTCTCGTTTCTTGCATGTTAAATCCTGGGGGAAAGAGTCGAAGTTTATGTTAAAACAAGGTAAGAGGTGTGAGAGGAAGGCCTTGAAGCCTTAAATGACAATGTCATTCAGGAAAATACCAAAAGATATACACAATGAGTAACTTTCTTTCGAAGCCAAAATCAGATATGATACATGATGGCACATTATATTTTTGTAAAGAATAAGTATCTATGATTCAAAAGTACCCAGATGACTTACTTGAAATATTACATGCAGTATTAGTTCACCTGTCAAAATATGTAGCAAATGATTCAGCCCCTGGCAGTTATTCGTTGCACATCAAGCACTTGAAACAGTGGACTCACTAATCAATCACACTTTTGCAATGTAGATGTTCCATGTGAGAGAGACAATAATGGAGCCAAGTGTGCTTGGCAAGGGAGAGACGACTGCTGTCCCCTGGCTCCTCAAGAGTACATTGCAGCTGAATGAATAATCGTGCGAGAAGAGATGCAAATGATGCACACAGGGAACAATGTAAAAATTGGAATTCCCCTTGAAATTCCATCGAGAGATTTCTCAACAGAACTATATCTTGGGGAGGGGGTTCCCATGTTGCCTCTGTCCGATTCACCATGACGCAGAAATGAGCAAAATGATTTTATTAAAGGCAAGTATCATATCAAGGGGAATCACATCGGTCTTCCTGTCTTCATTTGGGGAATGTCGGGCACCAAAGCCTTTGCTACCCCCCCTCCTATCACATGAGCACATGGCATTAGCAACAGCATTATCACACACTTGCAAACGCCAGCTCGTTGCCGACATCGGCCGAGGAGTCGCGAAGCACCGACGACTTCTTTCGTTCGACGAACATTAAATAAGAGGTGGGGACGACTTGAACATTCTGAAAGGTCTTTAACTTTCATAGAGGGAGCTTTATGTGTAAAATAGGCCAATGAGCTCGGCAAAAATATGCCCTTCTGTGATTTTTGATTCTCACCCATGCAAAAAATGGTAACATAACAAACAACTCACTCGTGTCCTGAAACTTGCTCAACGCGAGAACAGAAAATTGCACATTTCATGAACAGGACAAGAATGGAAGAGAAGAGGGAATGGTTCTTCTAGAGAAGCAGACCGAGGCACTCGAGTCAAAGATGGCAACTAGATCGCACAAATTCACAAATGGAACAATGGTTAATGAGACGATGAGCAATTTCTAGATTAAGTGTGACAATCCTGGATTGGCTTTGGATAATGCAACAGTTCTTATGAGCAATCCATTTGACAACATGAAAATGACACTGAAACCAGTGTGCAAAAGTCATTTCAAATTGGAAAAAAAAAAATTGTTTTCCAGAGAAACAAGAGTCAAGAATCTTTCTATTTCCCAGCATGATAGAAAATGAGAAACTCTTGTTCTGGGACAACCTGTTCCATCAATCTGAAGCTGAAAGGAGGAAGGGAATGAACTGTTTCACCGTCCTGGTTGCAACAATGACCAAGAATGCACTAACTTCCTGAGAGAAGAAACACAGAAAACCAGAAATTGGATGCCCTGGAACTGGTAGTTGAAGCACTCGGTAAACTACCTAAAGAAAGAATTTTCTGAGGCAGAAGTAGTAAATCCAGCTTTGGAAAATGAATAGCATCCTGTGCATTTCCTGTTGAATACTTTAATCTCCGATTCCAATACCTTACTGGTATTTAGACCATTCCTTTTAAATTATATAATAATTTATATATGCTGCACCCTCCCCACTGCTACATAATATGGATTTATGAGGTGCAGCTACTCCCTGAAGCATACCATCACTGCTCTGAACATGTAACTCCTGTATAGTCACTTGCGACTACATACAAGCAAGTTCCAACTAGTCAAACTGAATCACATGATGCAAATCAAAAACAGGGTGTTTTCTGGTCCATGAATCTCTGAGATGACCTTCCTGTGTACTTTGATGTAATTGCTTGACATAAAAAAATATCAATCAGTTTCTTTCTGTGATATTCAAAGATATGGGCCAATGAGCTACTTCTTTTCCTGCATCAAATATGCATAGACAGTCGCTGAATAATTGAGAGGAACCAGGAGAGTGATGGTTGGGCTCAGTGTCGTTTGTTTGAGTACCAATCGATGCCCTTGTTCTGCGGCACGTGAAGGTAGCGACAGCTGCTCTCAAACGTGCAACCAGTAGTACGCCAAAAGTAGCATTCCTCACCATGTTCTGTGAATACTGGACCTCTGGGCTTTGCACCTTGTGCTTTTGTACTGCTCCTTAATAAAAAATAAAAATAAAAATAAATAATACACTAATTTTCATTCCTGTTACCACAGGTTGCAATGAAGGAGAACGGCATACTCACAGGAGTGAGCCAGAAGCACTGGGCATAATGAATCCTTTCCGGTCAGGGAATTTGATGAGGATATTTCTCCCTTTCAGATTCATGCCTTGGAGTGCACTCATGGCTCCAGCTGCATGACTTGAAGCATAGTAGTTGACAAATGCACAATACTTGGCAGACAGCAAGTTCACACTCTGGACAGTTCCGAATCTACAACAGTAGATGCAATTGTAACATGAAACAAGATACGAAGGTATGCCAAACCCAAGAGTGGCCACTCTTGGAATGAGATTTTGAAACAGTGCATGCACTGATGATGGTAGTGGAGTAGGAAGGACAGAGGGAGAATTAATCAATTCCATATCTCCTGAAGGAAGAAACAGGAGAAAAGCCCAGTCATGAAGCAAACCTAAGCTTTCTTTGAGCATTGGACACAAACAAGAAAGAAGGTGAAATAAGATTGAGAAGTACAGATGTAAGTGCCTCAAGAGGCTGAGAATACAGAAAAGAGCAGTTGGGGCAATAAAAGGACAATCATCCAATCTAACATTCTGTTTAAGAGAGTTGCCCACTTTGAGCATTTTCCATCCATTTCACTGGATGAAGTGACAGTATAAAGTAAATGTTGAGTACACTGTATGTGAGACTAATGGATAAAATTTTGGCACAAGGCAAAGTTTGAAGCAATAGTATTTTCCCAGAAGAGTACACAAAACTTCCCCAATTGCACATAGACCAAGAGATGTAGGTTCTTTCATGTGAATGGACTGAAAACATTTCACATTTAAAAAAAAAGGAGCACTACTGCAAAAAGATATGACAGTGATGAAACAAGGTGTTGCCACCAGCGAACTCTAGCATCATTGGATGGAAAGTAGTACAGGGAGGGGGGAGTAAGCAGGTAAAGATCCAACATTATTTTCCATACCCATCTCTGGACTCAAGAGCCAATGGCAATACATATAAAAGTTAAATACTGGTAACAAACTTTACTTTTGGACCATTCTTTACCAAAAAGTATAGCACTCTGGAAGCATCCATATGGAAGTAAATTCTTGATGTCGTTTCCTACATGAAAAGATTTGCAAATGGGATGCCAATAAATTGAAGCAGATAACAGGTTAACAGGTAAGAAAAAAATCTTTACCAGCAATAATCTCAGTATAACTTTTGAGTTAACCTAAAAGAACAAAAGGAGTAGTAGACACAGACACACATGCAGAGGTGCACACACACAAACTACATGTCATTAAAAATGGCTTTTTTTTGTGCAAAAAAGAAGGTACTCTGGAAACAATATCATAATATTACTTTTGAGTCAAAAGGAACAAAGGGGAAAACAAAAAGCATGACAAGAAAATCTCACCTGCTAAAAAGTTCATGAAGGGTTTCTTGGCTGACTTCATCTGATATATTCCCAACCCAAAGGGATGTTGAATTCTCAGGGTTCCTGGGGCTGAAATATAAATAATTTCATCAGCCTACACATCCAATGACAGACTATAGGATGACTACAATGAATTTTTTTCTCACTCCATTTTGGGATCATATAAATCATCTGCTGATTGGTTGAACATAGCACGTTGACTTTCAGTTTCCACAGGAAACAAAGCATCATTAGAGCCTGACATCAGATATTCCAGTGCCATTTCCTTGGTTTTATGCTTGCTCAAGGCAAGATTACAGGATTCATATGGAAATCCCATCGCATGGAGCTGGCGGAGACGTGATTCGTGCTGATCCAGCATCGCTTCTTCGTTGGTCGGGTCAAGGCTTAATACCTTCTCAAATGTTCGCTCTGCCTCCAAATACCTCTGAAAAAGGAAATGGAAATTTTAATGACATTCTAGAAGGATCACAAGAATGCAGAGCAGGGGCTACCTTATCACATATGAATGTTTGACCTTGATAAAGGACATCATAAACAGCAAAAATGTCACTTTTCACTTCTCTATATGAAGCACAAGCCATGAGGAAGCAGAGAGAAGAAGAAAAGAACCTTGACACACCTCCATTCCCATAAGTGCTTTTCCAAAACGCATATAACCCAGGGGCAAGTCGGGAGCCAAACGTATAACCTCTTTGGCATCTTGTTGGGCTTTCTCATACAATTCCATTTGATTATAGCAGAGTGAGCGATTTCCATAGAATCTTGGGAGAGGGAAAGATAAATTAACATGGAGTATCTCTGAGGTTAGTCTTGCAATGGATGGAATAAGGAACTTGCCTGTAATCAGGGTAGACCTCGATGGCTTTCGTATACCAAGAGATGGCCCCAGATAAATCTCGTTCGTTGGCTCGCTCGTTACCCTTAAGAGCAAGTTCTTTTGCCTTGGCTAACCAATCCACTTCTCCTTCCACAAGACTCTTATTTTTTGTTTTACTCCCATGCGGTGCAATTGGAGTCTTTTTACGAGCACCCTGAGGCTTATTGTCTGTCTTAGTGGGAGCACCAATGGCGAGCTTAGCTACAGCTTGTGATACAAAAGCAGCTCTCAAATCTAAGTCATCTGACTCTTCCTGTAACTCCTCTTCGGTGGTTGCAGCCATCTCAGCCTCTCTGGAAAGTACCATATTTCAAGTTCTTCACCTTACAGAGTCCATGAAACAAGATAACCAACAACCAAGGGCAAATATCAAATAGTACTATAGATGATTGGACACTGCAGGCCCAGAAGGAGCATGTTATTTCTAAACTGCTTTAGCCAAACAATTAAAATAGTAAGCTTGCCTGCCACATGTAAAACATTAGGAAACAGCAACAAACTTCAACTTATCTGAGAGTTGCTATGATACTGGGAGGATGAAAATTACAGACCTGGTTTCAATATCAGATTCTTCATCACTTTTTTCACTGGTCTCCTTATTGGCACCACTGTCTGGATAATTTTCATAAGCTGACCGAACACTTTCTTCCCTTGCCCTCTTTTTCTTGGATTTAGTGGAACTATTTTGTTGTAGCTGTTTTTGGGGTGTATTCTGTTCTGATTGTTGCTCAGGATGTTCACTTTTCTTTTTCTCTTTCTGTCTCTTTTTCTTTTCTTTCCTCTTCTCCTTCTTCCTTCGCTCCCTTTCCTCCTCAGCCATCAAGTCTTCCGCATTCTTGCGAACCTTCTTCTCGTCCAAAGTTCGATCTCCTCCTGGAAAAGCCACCAGGGCAAAGGAATAATCCAAAAATCAGTGCTAGATTATGGCATAGCATGTCATGCACAGAATCCATTCTACAGCCTTTGCATTTGGTAGATTTTACCGTACCTACTAAAAGCATAAATACAAATGCCATTGGGCACACTCTGAATAGCTTTCCTTAACAGGATGATTCTAATTGTATTACCTATAAACTCATTCTACAATGAAAATATATTCATCTTAGGCACATACATATCAGAAGCATCTCATTGAGGAAAGTACTCATTTTTGCTCAGAGATTTTGCATGTCTTGAACACCCTCCAGTTACATGGCTCAAAATACATCTACTATTGAAATTATGACTGACTTTTATTCCAGCTATGAGGGAAAATGAATGCCTTTCTTCCCAATTCTTTATAGATATCAGCAAAAATATATGCAATTTATTAGCCTCCTTTTGCCAAAATTTACTAGCAGAACTTTGCATGATGCACTTCATTCAAATATTTCCAGGTTATTTTAAATATATCAGGAATGGAGAATACTGTACAATGAATGATCAAATTTTCAATTTCCAATCATTCCTACTTTCTCCACTTCAAGCAGATTCTCATCTCATATCCCTCATGATAAAAATGAATTGCTGATGATGCTAAATGCTGCAATGTATAAGAATAATCAAAGAATGAAATCTATGAGTTCCTCCTCCCTCTCCTTCCCAGAATTTCAATACCATCATAACTAACTTCTGGTACTGACAAGGGTCTGGCTCATGTGGAAACCTTGGAAATGGCTTTCTGCACTTCTACATCAGGAATGGATCATGATACCCACTTATGAAAATTACTTATGAAGAAATACCATAGCATGCATGAATGTACATTTTTTTGCAACTTATTTTCATGAGTACTTTCATAATTATAGTATTTGGGCTTTGCGTGACTGCATTTTCACAGGAAGACAATTTAAAAAATTACCCATAGCTATATCAAAAGGATATTTAGAATAGTTCAAGCTGTTACAATGAGCAACTTCTACAGGAACCACTTTCACATTCTGTAAGTGCATTACACAAAGTCTTCATTAGTATGAGTAAGCATGCCAAGAGGAAGGTCAACTGCATATTGCAGAATGGATACCTCCAATCTCTAATCTACATCCTTGAATACTCTCCTTTTCAAGAGCATTGGATAATAGTCACTCAAGAAAAATAAAAGCACTTGAAGGGTGATCAAAACCTCATTAGTCTCAATTGAGCCAAAATGAGTATCCTATCTAAAACCCAAACATGCACCAAACAGAGCACTAGCCATCAGAAGAGATTCAATGTTCTGTATGTCTCTGATATCTCCATTCAGATTAGATCATACATCTAATCAATGACTACAATGCACTATCTACAAAGGCAGGAATACATTCAAGCGCAATATGATTGGCAGAGAAGCTGGGCAAGACATCATCTCTAAGGAAAGAGATATCAAGAAACAAGCTAAAACTTTGCCTAATATTGCCTTTCATTAATACTTTACATGTGATACATGTGAAACTCTTTTGGCCAATTGCCAATCCAATTATGATGCATCATGTTAATGAAACTGAAACATGATATCTCCAGCAAACAGATCTTCAAGCAAAGCTATCTGATTTGTCCAAAAAAAATGAAGATCCAGCAATGAAGCATAATACAGCACTTAGTAATTTAAAAAAGGCACATTTCATCTCAGCATTTACAAAGGTAAAAAGCATAGTGGTCAAATTTGTAGGGCAACCTGAAACTTTCATGCAATCACATATTAATTTTTTTTGGCATGCAAAAGTTGACTGGATGGATGAGCCAAAAGGAGGCAGTCATACGGACACATTTCCTCGATGAATTGCCCAGAAAACCTCAAAGCACCACTGGACCCTTGTCAAGATCTCAATAAATAAGACTCAACAAGCATGGGAACTCATGCTCATAGGCTAAAACCCCTAATATCTATAAGGAAGAAAATTCCCTGATTCAGCAATGGATAGTGACAGGAACTCTGGTATGTCAAGTTCATTGTTTAACACTACAATAAAGTTATGTGCAAAAAATAACATTCTTTGATATTAAAAAAAGACTTATGAGACAAGGTTAAATATATAAATATAATAAAGCCCAAGAGATAAATGGAGCTGGGAGGAAAACTAAAAAGACAAATCACTAAAGGAAAATTAATTTTTCCAAAGCTCCATCTTTTATTTCATGCCAGGTGCTGCAAAAACAAAGCAGGCGTTAGCCATCCAAGCCAATTCTGCTGCACACATAGTCTCACTAAAGGCAATATATAGGGTAGTCATGAAGTCCAAATCTATTTAATTGAAAAACTCAAAATTATTGCAAAAATGCATAATGTGCACTTCACATTGTCAATAATGAACTACATTGAACTGGTGAAAGTAAATTAAAAATCAGTTAATAACATTTTTTTTGTTACTGATGTTCCATATGACCACCCTCCAAATCAATACATAACTGGAATCAATCTGTTGTTTCCCTGTACATTCAGGACTTTCAGCATGTCAGGGGTTGTCGTTAACAGCAGCATAAATACGATCTCTTAAATCTTCAACATTGAGAATCTTTGTGCTGTAAACCTTTGATTTTATGTACCCCCATGCAAAAAAGTCCAAGGGGATTAGGTCAGGTTATCTTGAATTCCACATCCTGTTTGACCCTCGGCCAATCCAATGTTTCGGGAACTTCTCATCCCCTCTTGCACTTTTTGGCATGGGGTACCTTGAGTCAAAGGTTTACAGCACAAAGAATCTCAATGTCGAAGATTTAAGAGATCGTATCTATGCTGCTAACAACTTAACCCCTGATATGCTGAACATCTTGAATGTTCAGGGAAACAACAGATTGATTGCAGGTATGTATTGACTTGGAAGGCAGTCATGTGAAACTTCAGTAATAAAAAAAATTTTAATAACTGATTTTTAATTTACTTTCACCAGTTTAATTTAGTTCATTATTGACAATGTGAAGCGCACTTTATGCATTTCTGTAATAATTTTGAGTTTTTCAATAAAATAGATTGGGACTTTAGGACCACCCTGTAGATCACTGGATTCAGAACTCTGTTTTCAGGAGTCAAGCCATCACCAGATAGATCTCCATATTCCCTTCAGTGTTATCAAACAGGAAAATTTCCCTAATTCTGATTCTGATTTTACAGCTGCATTTGCATGCAGCTTTAAAATCAGAAATAATGCAAAATAAGCAACAGGAAAAATATAACTCTATTTTTTTTTTGGTTATGAAAAAATCTAACAATATAATATACTTTAATTTTTTAGAGAACCAAGAAGTTTATTGGTTTATGCAAATTATCATTATTTCATTAATTGGAGAATTTCTTTCTAGGCAATTGGCGCCATTTTCTGCATGTCTTGCATCTTAATTTGTTTCAGGTGCATCCTAAAGCTGATTTTTGCTCTTTTTTTATTATAAAATAGGTGTAGGAATCATTTCATAATCTCACTAATTTACATACATCAATCACTTTAATAATTGATGATAGGAAAAATTCCTTGAATTTCACATATCAAACTACCTAATGAAGAAACAAGGAACAAGCATAATACCATGAGTTTTCTGTGCATTCAAAGAAAAAGCTATGACCAGCCATTTAACTTGCTTCTTAATGGTAACAGATAACTTGCAACCTTTCCAGCAAGGGAAATATTCATATGACAATCTGTAGATGAAACATATTCCAGTGCAAAATACAGTGAACATTGCAAAATGCCTACTGGCAAGATCTTCAGCCATCTTTCATTCCATTTGGCAGGCATGGATAAATCAATGTCATCACATCCATTCTGAACCTCAATCAAGTGCTAATAGAAAATAAGGCATTCAAAGCAGCATTTAATGAAATGCATTGATGCCCATGCAGAACCCACATAGCAGGCAAAGCATGTCAAATGGAACCAAGATGAGGTGAAAAAATAAGCTTACCAGACCACAACTTAATGGGCCAAACCAGAAAAGACAGGAGCAAAGTACCTGCTCTTCGTGCCAAAATAAGTGCTGAATGCAACAGATCAGAAATCTGGTCCAGCTCAAGCGTGCCTCCTCTTTCGTGATCATCAATGAAACCTGTATAAACACAGTGCTAAAATACTGAAGTTGGCTGATAAAAAATGATGACCCAGGCCAAACAGGAAACAGGTTAAAAAAAAAAATTCATAACATATGATCAAAACTGTCATCATTGTTCAAACTGTCTTGCTCTTGAAAGATCCCCTTATATAGGGGTAGGTGTATTAAGTTTTTATGGATAAAAATATCCTGAAAAAATTTTATAAGTAACTTAGCAACTCTGCAAATAAATGATATTGAATGAAATGCATGTGGCCTTTCACTTTACAAGTATGCCTATAACAACATTCACAACTCCTTCAATGATATGGAATTTTTTTTTTAATACAATAAGTCAATGTGACAACATCTAGTGAACACACCTCTCAGTTGGGAGTCCCCTGTAAAAAGATCTTGGAATGTCTGAAGTGCTGCCTCTAAAGTTGGTACTTCCACATATTTTCCTGATTCAAGGGATTTGTATGCCCATGCAAGATCAATGAAGTTCTGTGAAATGACACCCAAAAACACTTCACTTAACAGGAGTCACTGACTGATAATGGTCAAAACCATATATGACAGTAACCTAGAAGGGCCTACCAAGAAGTTCCCAGAATGAATTTTTTCTGACCAATACCTGCAATCAAGGTGGCAGGAAAAGGCCTATAATCTAATTTGATGCTAGAGCAGAATAGCTGGAAAAAGTATGTGACTACCATATAGGACTACTCTGAAGACTACAAATTGATGCAATTACTCTTGCTGAATTGGTTACAAAAAAAATTCTGCCTGAGAACAATTTTATAGGTCTCATCTTTGCCAAAATTCCAACAAATAAAAAGTTACTGTCTCTATATTCCAAAAAAAATGAAATATTGGGCCAAGGACTGAAGACCAGACAATAAGCATAATCTGGAAGGAAGAAATTAAAACATGTTGGACCGAGATGTAACTATCACCAAATCCCTCAGGCCCATGTTTGACCACATCTTCTTCCCTGAATGGAATTGCCTAACTTTTCTAATATCTTTTATCTGATTCGAAGCACTCTAGATTGACTGTGCCAAACCCTGGCATTAAGTCAATGTGAAAATGCCTGGAGTCACTCTGAATTCATAATGTCAAATGTTGGAACTAGAAGTTCAATTCACATCAAGAAAAAACTGAGCACTTATCCAACTTGTTGCTACCTTAGAGACACCAGTGAAAATTCAGGTTCACCTACCTTTTTCCCTTTTTCTGTTTTATCAGAAGCAGGGTGAAATTGAAGGGACAAATTTTTATATTGCTTCTTCCAAGAGGATGCAGTCTCTCCATCTGAAAACATGGATTTAGGAAAGAGGGAAAAATTAGAAGTAGCCCTAACCTACAAAGGCCTAGAAAGGGGTGAGCCTTTTGAAACGTTTGCTGGTTAGCACACCAATGACACAACATGGTGGCTGATACAACAGCCCAGATTTCATGAAAACCTGGACCGAAAGAAGTGAGGGAGACTTCTTATGTGTGTGTCCATTAGTTGCAATTACTCTCTATGGAAAAACTGAAGAAATAAATTGATCCAGTCCAAAAAATGCACAAATGTCCAAAATGAGCCACTCCAATTGTGTTTGGTGATAGTTCAGATCCAATGCAGTGCATCACATTGGGTTACCCTATCTAGAAACATCAAGGATTTTTTCCATGTCTGCTGCAACTTCACCATCTGTATTTATATACTGCAATTGTCAATTACAAAAAGAACTACATTCTCCAATATGGCCACCTCTTTATAAAAGAAATGGTCATGAAATAGTAACCCTGGTTGCAATCTGCAATTTAAACTTTTTCCAGGTTTTCATGAAATCATCACATCACTGAAGAGACGGCTAGGGATCTTTCCTCACTGATATTCAGTTTTGTTACATTAAAAAGAGGGGTTATCAGTGCTGATGATGGCTAGAGTGCATAGCAATGATAAAGTGTCCATAACAGATCCTTCAAGTGGCTTGCCATGACCTTCACAAATGTGTTTTAAATTTAAAAAAAATTTCAATTTAATACTCACCAGATCCATTTTCAGAAAATAATATTTTTCAGCTAAAAATCCTGAAAAGGGCAGAAGTTTTCTAGATTGAAACAGTGAGCATGGGGGATAACTTCTCAAAGCTGCTGAGCAATCAGCCAAAAAGAAAGACACATGTACAGGTCTGATTTGGCATTGACCATGTGCTCCATTTCATACTACATAAGTTTGGTCCTGTAACTAAAAAAATAAAGGTTGAAGTGAAATAGAGGACTTCGTAGAAAACAAGGCTCTGAATTTTCACTGACTTGGTAGAGAATGGAAAGGGAAAATTTCTAAATCCCAATTATTCCCTCAATTTGTATTATTATTATCCCGGAAACATATTATGATAGCTTACTATCTCTGGTGAGAGCCACCTTTAATGTACACCATTCAGAATGTTAAAATCCAACTAATTTTGATTATTAATTATATTTGATTTCAAATGGTCAGCTAATCACCAGCATGAACCTTGGTCAGTATAAGAGTTTGGCTAATTGATCATTAATCACTTTCATTTTGTTCTATCACAATGAATGAATTTTATTGCTGCATAGAGGAAACTACTCTAGCATCCAAAACTCACAAGCCATCATATATCTCATCTTTTTGCAAGAGACTTCTTAATGTCATACTTGAAAGTCAAAATTCAGCTTCTTCTAATGGACTTCCAGCAAGAATAGCCAAAAAAAAACATTCTCATTCCACCAGGGGTATTGCAGCTGGGAAACAATCTGGATCTGACTTTAATTTTCAGCTATTACCCAGTTGGAAAGGGTCTGAATTTACAGCTGGGGTCCAGCTAGAAATTATAGCTGTTCTCAGCCTGGATTTTAAGCTGGGATGGCAATAATGGCAATAGCATATTAGGACTAGCCCAACATTGCAATGCTCTCTTTAATCCTTATGCCAATCATATTTTTCTCTCACTTTCCTGTTTTGCACATTGCGGCCTCTTGCTCTTGCAAGATAGGTCTGCAGGCTACAGAAGTACCTTCACCTCTCTACCTGAATTAATTAGGACTTATACCTTCTTGTGTATGAAACTCACTGGAAGGGCTAAGAAAGTGCATTACATCATGGCATGTCCTGAATCAAATCAACTTAAAACTTGCAGGGCCCTGTTTGTTTTGGCCATGTTCAACCTAAGTTAGGCCTACACAGCCATTCTGATCGTGCATTCTGTCACATCACAATATCAAGCAGATTGAAATGGCCCATAGGTTATCCAAAATAAGCACCTCGCGCCTATACTCTTGCTACAAAGGATTCTTGAGCATCTCACCATTCATTTCGAGAATGCTTCTCGCCTTCTGTTCGAAATCCATCTCGTCCGCGTGACCCGGCATTTCGGGTGCCGCCAGACCATCAGGACTCACCCGACCGATTCCCGCCAACTTGCTCGAACCTAACCCTGCAGCATGAACGAGAGCCAGGGCCTAACGTTAACGAACGCCCGAGAGCGAAAGAACAAGGCGCTGGAGGGCGGCAGAGACACGTGCCCCGTGAGGCTGCACGCAGACATGCTCGGCAGAAATCAGCGCATGCGCAGTCGGTCCTTCTCGTCACGCGGCCCGCGAGAGCCTCCGTCGCGCTCAGTCGTGTCCCAGACGGCGAGGAAGCCGTGCTACTGATGGACGCCCGAGGAATTTCTTCATTGGAGTTTGGTATCCTTAGCGATGAAGTCGCAGGTGATAGAGGTCTCAAATGTTTATTTAGTCAGACAATGGACATCCCATTTCCCAGTTCCTTTCTTGCGTTGCCGAACTTTTGCATGCAAAAATCATCGACTAAAATCTCGGTAATCTCAGGCTAGGGAGAAAATGAACTGAAGTGTTTTTAAAACTGATTCCAAGGGTATTTCAGGTTTTTATCCACAAACTTACGAACTAAATGCGTTTCCCTAACTAAATAGCCTCATTGCTAGTCCGAATCCCATAAGTTCGAACAAAAAAGTCCGGATAAGTGAGTTGCAAGCAGATCTTGAGGCACAAGGCCAATGCTTCCATGTCCGAAATCCACACGACGTCAAGATGAAACAGAAACTTGCCCTATCATATCCCTATGTTTGAAATATGTCCCCATATCCCATACAATTTGCTGCTGTTGCTCCTGAACTTGGTTCTCTAGAAAAATGACATACAAATCCGGATGCTGGATATCGGATAAAGATTGATCAAATGCAAAGTACCGATCAAGTGCTCTAGGTTAATCCGAATCAGAATGAGCTAATAAACCCGAATGAATCAATTTTAAGCAAATGTACAGGTATCTATACTATCACATTTCAGTGAGTTTGTGTGTCTGTCTGTCTGTCTGTCCTTTATGCACGGCCACGCCTCTGATTCCCAGTCCAACCAAACTTTGCATGGCTTCCTCATTTGGTCAGGGGATGGTCATAGGCTAGGTGGAGTTTCGAAATTCGGCCCCCCCCCCCCCGGGTACCTTATTTAGTACATGTTTTGTACTCATTTGGCCGATTCACTACTACAGACCCCCAAAGGAGTCAACATTTGGGGGGTTCAGTACAGAGTTGTAGAGGAAGCCTTTGTTATTAATAAAATTTCCGTTTCACCTCGCAGCACAGCGAGTTTAATAAGTTAACAGTAGTAGTTAACAGTAGTAAAGTAGTAACAGTAGTAAACAAACGAGTTTGAGGAGCACAAATGTATTCATACTCGCAAGGCGACCCCTATGACTTAAGCAACGAGATCACTCGAGCCATTGAGCATGTGTACTCGCTGTGAATGGGTGTCTAATGGCTGTCGTCGGTGACGAATGTGCAAGATTTTGCTGTACAAAGGAGACAAGCGAAGGAAAGGGACGGAAATGAGGCTCCATCTTTCACTCGGACCTCCACTCCCGTCTCCCACTCCGACCTCCACTCCCTCTTCCTCTCCGTCTCCCTCTCCGCTTTTCTCCTCCTTGAAAGGACGGAGGAACGCGAGACCATCGAGGCGCGGAAGGCCCCCCCGCCGTGCATGGCTGCGCTGACCCAAGCATTCCTCACACCGGTCAGATCAAATTAATCGGTCGCGGATTAAAAGCGACCTTTCACTCTCGCGCATCTCATTTGCACGGAGAAACGGAAAGGTAAAACTCAGTGAGACCGAATACATTAAATAACTGTTTTATTTGGCATTCTGCCAGCTTTCATGCATACGAGATGCCGTATAAATAAAAAAAAACGAGCTTCGCATGGTGTTGGTAGGAAGTTTTTATTTTATTTTCATAAGTAAACTGATACCCTTTAATTTAAAAAAAAAGAAAAACAACAATACTAACACACGATCAGAGAAATGTATCGACAACCATTCATTGAAACTATTAAACATTTATTTTTCATTGAAATCCTCAATTGGTTTGGAAAGTCATTGCATTTGAGCAGTGGTATGAACTCCTATTTATTCATTTATTTATTTATTTATTTATATACTTGGTATAAATCTTCCTCATTCGTCTGACGTCATAAGGAGGAAAGAATGGAGTTTGTACGATATCAAATATAGTTATGTAAAATTATAAATTGGCACTTTTTTTGCTTCGCCTCCCTCCGGTGATAAACCCTTATTATCATTATTATTTATTTATTTATATTGCTGATCCAACAATTAAAATCCTCCGTGAATGACAGAAACCAGACGGAATGCACCAAAAATAATTGCCATTCTCCGTTTCAACGCACAAAACGCGCTGAAAAAATTCCTGGTGCAGCTGCCGAAATTTTCAACTCGCCAAAATTCGCAAATGCACGAGAGTTTGCAGGGAAATTTCGGATGGATTGGCTTCTCAACACCTCGCCCGTGCGAAATAATATTAATAATATATAAGTAATACATTTGTAACTTTCAGATTCCTGGCTTTTCCGCTCATTTATTTCGACATTAATTTTCATACTTTCAAAAATATTTTTTTCGAAAATGCAAGGCGGAAAATCCGCAGTGAATTTCCATTTGACTTTCTCAAGGTCACATTTGACAGGAAAATTGACCTTTGATGAAATTAAGAGCAGAAGGAAAGGAAAGGATTCGGTTCAATTTGATTTATATACAGTATATATTTTAAATAAATTATACATATAAAAAAGAGTGAAATTCGTAGCAGTCAAAATGGTCGCGGACAGTTCGTCGCACGCCCTCTCGATCGTAGCACTATTTCGTCGCTAAAATAGTCGCTCCCTCCTTGTCACGAGGGCATTACAAAGCATTACAAGGCATTACAAGGCATTACAAGAACGCGGAACTGGGGATCGAGGAATCGGATTAGTTTAAGGACAAGATGAACGCGTTTAAGAATGGGATCATCTTCAGAAATCAGATTAGTTTCCGTGAACGCGACGGAATTTTCTTCGCGCTGGATGATGAGAGGCGAGGGGGATGAGGGATGAGGGATGAGGGATGGGGATGAGGTCTCTCCTCCGGGCAAAACAGGATGCAGAACTCCCGGATGCTGAGAATCCGGGAGTTAATCCTGCCGTGGAACAAGTTTAGCTTTGAGGATTTTTTAAAGAGAGAAATTGATTTCATTCGGTGCATATCACCCTTTGCCTCCCCTTTTTGTTCACCTTGCTTTCACCTTGCTTTCACCCTTTTCACCTTGCTTTCACCCTTTTCGCCTTGCTTTCACCCATTCACTTTCTTCCGCGGCGAATCGTCCGCGACCGTATGGCCGCGACGAAAACGCCGGTAAAGGACACGGTCGTTCCGTAGGTCGGAGAATGCCGGCTCGTGACTGAGAAGTCATGACCGAGATGTCACGGCTGAGATGTCATGACCGAGGAACCATGACTGCACTGACTGCTCTTCGCAAGCATCGACCCGCCATGTAAAGGACATATAACGTCGACGACGATTCCCCTTTTAGGTCCACATGTAATATTCGATCCACCTGCATTCCACCTGCATTCCACCTGTATTCCACCTGTATTCCACCTTCTCAATCGCTTCTTGAGTCCCAGATTACCATGCGAATTTTTATTTATTGGTTTTTTAGACTTCTGCGGCGTTTTTTTTTGACACCGACTGGAAAGTATACAGGGTGTCCCAAAAGTTAATTTACAGAGGGATTTTCGGATATTCTCATTAATTTTAATTAATTTTTTTAAATTAAAGTTGTGCGATATTGTTATCAATTGCCGTTATTGTGGCGTGTTTTTATTTTCATTCTGGGTGAAGATGGAGAGACGACCGATTAAAAAAATTATTATTTGCATTTACCAGTTTCAGGTACAAAAATCCTCATCTCTCAGGTCATCCTCAAATAAAGCGAAAATGTAAAAACTGTTACGATAATGGTAAGTAATAACTAAACAATATCACATAGCAGTTATTAAATTAGTTAATGAGAATAGCTGAACACCCCTCGATAAATTAATTTATGGTATTTATTTGTATTTATTTGAACTAAATATTTTTATCGCCCCATTTTTGCAGGGAGGAATATCCTGGAAAGTCAGTCGGCGAAGGTCGAGATACCCCGACCGGATGCAAGGTCCCCCAGAGCGGGCCGGATACCCAATCACCGGATACCCCGGCCGATAGCTCCGCGAAAAGCCGAAAGGCAGGACATCCCCCGATATAAGTCGGCGGAGACCCCGGATCCCCCCGCCACTTCGCAAGATGCAGACCTGCAGACGCTTCGCGCTCCTCGTCCTCCTGGGCGTCGGGACTCTCGCCGCCGCAAGGGAGAAGCGACAGACGGATGACGGCGACTTCTTCTGGCTCGATCAACTCAAGGAAGGTGGAAACTCCGAAACCCGCGGGGCACCTGACGGAGGCGCACCTCAGGTCTACGTACAGGTCCCGAATGCACCCCTCGGCAGCCCACTTCCACCCCAGGGCAACCAAATTCCACCCCCGGGCAACCAACTTCCACCCCAGGGCAACCCACTTCCACCCCCGGGCAACCCACTTCCACCCCCGGGCAACCAAATTCCACCCCCGGGCAACCAACTTCCACCCCAGGGCAACCCACTTCCAGTCGGTCTTCCACCCCAAGGCAACCCCCTTCCAGTCGGTCTTCCACCCCAGGGCAACCCCCTTCCAGTCGGTCTTCCACCTCAGGGCAACCCCCTTCCAGTCGGTCTTCCACCCCAGGGCAACCCGGCTCCTCCTCTCGGTCCTACAGGCGGATATCCACCTCCACCCGAAAGTACTTGCCATGCTCCGCACGAATGCGTGCCCTTCTACCTCTGCGAGGTGAGTCCTTGTTTTTTACTCGCTAGGAGACTTTGATCACGGAAACCTCACGGATATCGCGCGGATAGCGACCGACCGGAGAGGTCAAGGTCGTTTCTTGCATTTCCCTCGAAACAGGCGCCGATCTAACCAAATCAGGAGCTTCCTCGCCGTAAAACCTTTTGTTCTTCAAGGACAAAGGATTCTTCCTTCTTTTTTTGTCGAACGACGAGACACCGAGAAACACGAAAAAAGACTCGCTTTCCTCGCCCATTCTTTTCTCCCTCGCAAAAAAAAAAAAATTTCCCTTCTCAGGACGGGAAGATCGTGTCTTCGGGCGAGGGAATCATCAACGTCCGCACCGGCATCGACGACGAAGTGAAGCTGGTGGGCGGCGGCTGCCCCAGTTTCCTGGACGTCTGCTGCCTGGACCCCTTCGCGCCGACCCCTCCCCCTCCCCCCAAGCCCTACCTCCCTCATTGCGGCAAGAGACACGAGGAAGGTCCGTGTGCTTCATTTTCGAATCCCTCCAATCTAAAAATAATAATAATGATGATAATGATAAATTCATAATTTCGTGAACGATTCCGAGACTGCCGTTGCTTATAATTTCGCCGAATTTGATCGACGCAATTCGTCTTATCTGGCATCTCGTTTGTCTTCTAAGCATTCAGAAAAAAAAAATATATATATATATATTTAAATTTAAAAAAATTAATATAAAATAATTTAATTAAAAAATTTTTAAAAAATTTCTGAGACTCATGGAATCCCCTTGCCCCCCCAGGCGTGGAAGTGCGAATCGTGTTCGGCAACCTGACCTACGACTCCGAGGCGCAGTTCGGCGAATTCCCCTGGATGACAGCCATCCTCAACGAGGAGCTGGACCCGCAGGGACACGTGCAGGACGTGTACAAGTGCGGTGGCTCCCTCATACACCCACAGGCTGTGCTCACCGCTGCTCATTGCGTCGACAAGTTCTAGTGAGATATCTATTGCTTCCCTCGTTTTAGAAATTGGGCTAGATTACCGATAATCCAATAAGTCAGGGATTAATGAGAGCATGTAAGTTGGCAGTGCAGGAGGAAAAAATGTTGCGCCGTTTTATGGTTCGCGAACGTCGCGAGGCAGTCAATCGCAAATTAAGTTGGGGCGAAATTTGATCTCTGCGGAATATTCGTCTTTATTATATACTGTATTATTATATATATATTGTTGCCTGTACTTCCTTCTGTAATTTTGGATCGATTCTTGTTTTCCAGTACCAACTACGGCGGACTGAAGGCCCGTTTTGGCGAATGGGACACACAAAAGGAATACGAGCCCAGGCCGCACCAGGACCGGAAGGTTGCGAAGGTGAGACAGCAGCCTGTACGAACGCCGATCGTCGCGATCGCCGTCGCTCACGAGGTGCTCACGAAAACACTTTTCTCGCAGGTCGTGATCCACGAGGGCTATAACAAGCGGTCGTTGTTCAACGACTTCGCCGTGTTGATCCTGGACGTCCCGGTGAAGCTGGACGACCACATCGACACCGTCTGCCTGCCCGGACCCAAGACGAGCTTCGTCGGGCATCGGTGCTACGTCACGGGATGGGGGTAAGCCGAGGAGAACCCGGGATCGCCCAGAGGAACGATTCAGACGTTGGACGTTCGCAGGAAGTCGGCGTTCGGGAAGGAAGGGCGGTACCAGGAGGTGCTGAAGAAGATCGACCTGCCGGTGGTGGAGCAGGCGTGGTGCCAGGAGAGTCTGAGGAACACGAAGCTCTCCAGGTTCTTCAACCTTCATCCGAGCTTCCTCTGCGCCGGAGGGGAACCAGGCAGGGATGCCTGCAAGGTCGGTTCTTTCCATTTAAAATTTAATTAAGTAAAGACTTAACGGTGAGCGTGAAATAAATAAAGCAATCCGGTAATCGCTTATTAAGCAATCCGGTAAATAAATAAGGCAATCCGGTAATCGCTTATTAAGCAATCCGGTATTGACGATGGACGATGGCGAATCGCAGGGCGACGGAGGGAGTCCGCTGGTGTGCCGGGACCCATTGACGAACTACTTCGTCCAGGCCGGGATCGTGTCGTGGGGGATCGGGTGCGGGGAGCAGAACATCCCGGGGGTCTACGCGGATGTCGCGAAGGCTTCTGCGTGGGTCAACGAGGTGGTTTCCAAGCACTTTGCGTATCCGCAGCCGTATTGGGCGAGCGGGGTTCCCAATTCCGAGACGTTTTATTGAGGGTCTTGTTTGCGAGGCGGGAAGGAATAAATCTGTTTTTGGCATTAAGACTCCTTGATTGTCGAGAGAGAGGGGCGAAACGGGAACGCCGTCCGTCCTCGATGGAATGGAGGGGGAGGGGGGAGGGGGGGGGGGAAGGAGGGACTGTTCGTCTTCGGCAATGCGAATGAGTCGCTACCGTCTTGCAATCTTCATTGCTGAGCCAGGATTTGCCTGAATTGCTCGAAGGTGTCGGAATCGCCGGATACGCCGCTCGAATTTCCATCGCTTGCCCACCGCTTGCCCATCGCCTGGGATGGTAGCATCTCTTGGACTTCCCGTCTCCATATATCCACTAGTGGCCGGAAGCGATCGAGATTTGCACAGCTCCCGGAATCGTCGCATACATCGCAGCCGGTGTTTCAAGACGTGAATTCACTTGTAACGGCGGGAAATGAATTTTTTTATTTATAAATATATATTTTTTAAATTTTATTCACTCGATTGATCGCGAGGTTGGACCCCGGTGACCGAGAATCCCGGATATCCCGGACATCCCGGATATCCCATGTCTTACCGTTTCGGCTTCTCTTCGGGGTTAATGAGGACGCGAAGACGCACGTGCCCGCTGAGTTCTTCTGGCGAATTCCACGCTGGAAAATGGGGAACGCGATATTCGCCGCGCTTCATCGAATAACCCAGTCGCGATTAAGGGTATTCATCTCGACCAAATGGGGCGGAATCTCGTAAAAATTAAATTTGAAGGAAATTTGAAGGAAATTTGAATGGAAATTTGAATGGAAATTTGAATGGAAATTTGAATGGAAATTTGAATGGAAATTTGAATGGAAATTTGAATGGAAATTTGAATGGAAATTTGAAGGAAATTGAAAAACTCGGAAGGTGAAATCATGCAGCGTGGAATTCGCACAGCGGCCAGAATAGCAGTCGATATGCGACGATCGTTGTCGGCTCACCACGCCTGCCATCTAGATTATAAGTGAGGAGTTATGGCTTCATACTGCTCTGAAGAGGTGGCTGGTGATCGGCAGCGGGAGTACCAGGAAGTACCAGGAAGTACCAGGAAGGACGAGGGAGCGATTAACAATTATCGAATGAGGTCTGAGGACTTGAGTTCCTTTGGAGTTTTGAATCGCGAGAAATCGACCCGGACGATTCTTGATCGCGACCGAGGCAAGAATAGAGGGAATTCGAACGAGGCAAGAATAAGGAGGATACGCGAAAAAACGGGGGAGAGGATGTTTCGTGTTGCTAAGACCTCCCTCTCCCTCTCCCTCTCCCTCTCCCTCTCCCTCTCCCTCTCCCTCTCCCTCTCCCTCTCCCCCTCTCCCCTCCCCCTCTCCCTCTCCCCTCCCCCTCCCCTTGTCGATTCCACGACGGATATGATCCTTTAACTCTTACGGTGGCGTGCGATGATCGGTGGTGAAGGTCGACGCGGCTCAGTTCTCAGCACGGCTATTCATCGCGTGAGGGCGATTGTGGGAAGCTGTGACGTCCTGTGTTCTGTACCGATCTAAGAGAAAGAACCGATGATGACGCACGATAGAATGGGTTTCCCACGTTTAGAAGCCCTTTTTGCCGGTATCATGGCGGCTCTTCAATCACTATAATGGGGCTTTCTTAATTTCCCTCGCCGATGTTATTGCTGCCGCGAACACGACGGAAGGCAGTCGAAGACACCCGAGGCATAAAAATCCCCGGGAGAATCTCACAGGCCTGATGACGTCTGGTCGGAACCCAATTTCTCGAGCGAACCTCGAGTTCCAGGTCTGCCTCTGCCGAGATTGCCGGCCCACGAATGCTTAACGTCACGCCACCCTCACACGATCACAACCGACCGCCGTTACAGCAGTCGTCACAGCACGTTCGAAGGCAAACATAGGCTAGGCGACGAAGGGTCACGAAGGTGCATGGTAGAGGTGAAGGCGGGTCGCGGCAGGGGATGCTTCCGTATTCAGTAGGGCCGATCCGATGATCCCGCGGTTCGGGCTCCGACGTCCCGCCGATGCACATCCTAGGCCCGCTTTGAACTCTATGAATCGCTTCGAACGTGAATCGCCCTTTACTGCCATTGGTATTAACTGAAGTTTGGGATTGAGGGTCAGGAGTTTGAAGGTCAGGAAGAAGTTTTTTTTTTTCTGGGTACCTCTTCAGCTTGAAAAAAAAGTTTCTCTGTTTGTTATCGCTCTCGGCTCAAGTGCTGCCGTCCGGCTGTCTTTTGACTCATAAAAAAAACATTGTCGAAAATATCGTTCAAAAATGTCTTCGAAGAACTGCACACATGGTAAAAGAATAAAAGCCAAACGAAACAGGTCAAAGACAAGATATCCCAACCGGATGCAAAAAAGCCCCCCCCCCCCCCCC